TGCGCTAAATACAGGATAATGGACAAAGTAAGCGCGAACCGGAAGATGGAAAATAATTAATTGAAAAGGAGTTGAATGCGCGCGCGCGGCGCAAAACGAAATAATAACTTTACGAAAATAAAACTTTAAATAGAGGAAAAGAGGAGACGGAAAGTAATAGAAAAAATTTCTAAAAAGTGCCGAGACGAATTATCATCGCTAGCGCGATAATAATAGTAAATTAACGAAATAATTTTCTCGTCATGATTTTCCATTACATTTAAATGATGAAACAATCTCTCGGATTATTAGAATATGTGTAATGAGATGTGAAATATGCAATATTATAGTGATTCATTCAAATTTTCTAGTCGAATATTTAATGTGTTAAAGAATTCAAATTTTCATAATTTCAGAATAGAATATTCAACATGCTAAAGAAATAAAATCTGTTGAAAAGCTTCGGGGATTCTGACGCAGAATTATTCTTTACATTATGATAGACTTGACAGTATAACCAGCTATGCCAGCTATGGCATTTACAAGGCAAAGATACACATTCTAAGCACGCATATCGGCGTATGCAGATATGTGTTAGAAAGCCATAACTCAGGACTCGCGCGGATATAGGTGGTAGATTACTGTAGAAGGGCTCGTAATGCTTAATTCGATTTCACCTCTGCAAGTCGAATTATGTCAATAATTACATTTAACATAAAAAATACGAAATAAATGGCGAGTGATCGTCAGGATTGAATCGATGTTTGAATAAATTAAACATCCATAACACAGTGAAAAAATTTTAAGAATAAAAAAATTATAAACAGCACCGTCCGAGGCGAAAATTTGATTGTATAATTTAATTGAAATACCAAAAATGTAAAATTCCATTTTGTTCGTTAATTATTGTTATACTTCAACATGTTGATTTTAATTAACTTTGGTAGATCGAATACAAAACGCGTAAGATATATAATTTGCTCACGGGTACAATTTCATTTACAAATTTTAATTTCAGTGGTTCACCATTGTTTCATATATAAAATAGTACGTTTTTAATTGGTGTATCCATTAAATATGAATATTTTAATAAACCGTTACTTGATAGATTGTGATGCTAAGATTTCGGATATTAATTTGCCTGAAAGTATTCGGAAAGCATTTATTTTGCATAATACGTTTCCTAGAATTCCACTCTCGATTAATTCAAGAAAGCGATACCACTATGCATCACAGTATTGCAATACTACGAGCGGAAAGACAATCCAGCACGCGATTCCCTTTAGAATTGATGCACACAACGAATCAGTGCGGTCGGGCAATCGAGAAGCACTTATTCAACATCTATTCGATCTACATAGCAATCCCGTGCAACTTCTATTGAGTAACACGAGAAGAAAAAGAGAATGAAACTCGAGAGTCAGCTCTTAATCACACGCAAAAATTTTAATTAACTAATTAAAATTACCCTTATATTTGTTCAGAATAATTTCAAAGGAGTAACAGATAATAAAATTCAATTCGCGCATTTATACGATACATCATCGACTTTCACATCTCATGAGACATTTTTAATTGTTCAACTGATTTTATGTTTCGATTTTTTTTAAATATAATTTTTTTATAGATAGCATATGATACACTGTATTAATTAATACTGACAGTATTGACCGCTTATAACGCGAAAATTTTTATAATTCCGATGCCTTGGAATTTTTGGTTCTAATTAATCTTCGGAAGATGCCATTGTACAAGTGTTCGCCGACGTGCAACTCATATCTGCTTTAAGCAACACGGGACAAAGAACATTACTGTCGTATCATCAGAGAGAGAGAGAGAGAGAGAGAGAGAGAGAGAGAGAGTCTTGATTCGCTTATAATTAATGTAGTAACGAGTCCTCGTCAAACTAATTACACAGGTATAAACTTGAGTGTGGCGCGAGATGGGAACGCCGTGAAAAGTTCGGCCGATGTGCACGTTATATGCGCGGAAAGTCGCGAAAACAGGAAGAAGTTCGTAACGACTTCGAGACAATTCGGAATACGGAAGTCTTACTTATAAGAACCGCGGTTATTTGCATCGCACCAGTAACTTCGAGGTACTCTATATCTTTGACATCCTCTGATTCCCCCGTTTGTTATTTACATGTAACAATTAATATAGCTGAATAATAGCTAATAAGTACCTATCTAATCGACGTCATATTACATGCAACGAATAACAAACAATTACAGAGAAAAGAATTACAGAATATAAAACAATTCTTAAAGAGAAAGAGATTTCTCGTTTCATTTTATTCACATATTTCCTGAGGTATGACTATTACCTTGAGATCGCGTATGCGAGTTCGATACTTTAAAGCGAGAATATAGGATAGCGATAATAAAAAATAAATGTATTCAGAATACGTGGTTAAAATATGCGTGCCGAGATACTTTACATAAATTGATTATTTCATCAAGAAACGGGTGAGTGCTTACGGCGTGGGCTGTCTTTAAGTAGTTTAAGTCAATCATTCTTCGTACTCGTCCGACACTGGGCGACTGAGAATAAACAGCTGGAACAGCAAACTCATGGATCCCTGCATTAGAGAGTTCAAGCAACCGTCTTATTAACATTATTGATCGTGCAGCAAGAAACAAGTCTTTTGTTACTATTAATGAAGTTGCTGTTCCCTGCATAGTTTTCTCTCAGTAGCCATCGGAATAAACCAATAAACGATCTTTTAATCTCGTCTCGAGGCGGTTTTATTAATCTAACATATTTAACGATGCATGTACGCATGCACTTTCGCATATATACATATCTGCTAATAATTTTATTATATAAATAAAAGAAAATATAAGATATATTTCACTTGCCATAAAACACACATAATGTGCATTTAGCTTAAACTAATTTATATTATTTCAATTGTCATATTAAATGCGTCATATGCGTCAATAATTAAAATAATATCTGATAAATATCAGAATTAAGCGCTCTTGCTATCACGGAAAATTTGCTACGACGGAAATACCGAAAATATCATTCGTGACATAAATTCCTCCTAAGGCACGTCGGCTCGTTCTCGCAAATATTTGGCATGTTTGATGTAGAAGAACACTTAGGCTCGTCTACCGATGGTGTCATGCTTGCAGGAATTTTCGTTTAATATTTTTGCTCACGTGGCATGATTTGGCATGACTTGGCACGCGTAATTCTCGTAATAACGATAACGTAAAATCAACAATAATTTGTTTCGCATATATCTCTCCCCCGCCCCTCTTCCCCCGGTACATATACAAGTCGGAAAAGATATTAAAGATTCTTAAATCAGTTCTTAAATCGAATTCAAAAACCCGCGTGCGCAAGAATACAGAGAAATATACACAACTCTCATTCCACTGTATGAAACAACTTGTTCCACTCAACCCCCGCCGCACTCTCACTTAGAAAGATTGAATTCCAAGTACTCGCAAACCAACGAGCGAAATGTTCTGGTACACTGTTTGTAAATGCTTCCTATGCGACTCGAGCTTTGCCCGAGATTGGTAAGTTCACCAACGATTTATTGATCGCGATGCATCGCAAATGTAACGGTGCACAAACGCCCTAGTTTCTTTTCTTCTCTCCCTCCCTATATTTTTTATGACAACCGATATCCGACAAATGTGCATTTCTCTCATAAACGCGAGTTTGTAAATCAACGAACACGCGATAAATGTTTTCGTCATTAATGGATTTTACGTAAAGCATCAAATTACTTGATTTTGAAAACGCGAAAATTTGCACGGATAAGCGCATTAGTGATGATAGCGATTAAAAAGAAGGAGATTTAATTGAATCGATAACACATATTATTGCTGTACACAAATGAACCATCTCCATCTTGCAAAACTACCAGTGAAATCATCCACATTGTCAATATCGGTATTTACAGGCAACAAAGCATTACTTGTCTTAAGAGCTTCGGCAATATCAAGTTCCAAACTGAGTTTCAAAGGCTCACAACTATCAGTTTCTGCTGAATGCTTTCATTGCATCTGTACGTTAAGGATTAGATCCTTTAAGCGCAATAGGTGTATATATACCGATCAGAAACAATGCTGCGTGAAGAAACAATACATCAAAGTATATTAGTCTTCCCCGAAATTAGAGAACTGTGAAAATTTCGTGGAGTAAAAAACTATTTGTAAGGGATCGTTACACAGTGAAGGTACTGAGGACCCATTTTGATAACATTATTAAACCATTGTAGTTTCCAACGATATTGTAGTATTTTAAAAGCCAGAGAGATTCCCAGAAAATGAGGCTTACAATTATATTTCAATAATTGTACGCGCTCTTCTGTGAATTTTAAAAATTTTACTCTATATAAATAATTACGAAATGCAAATTGTACTTTTATATGAATGCATACAGAATATTTTTATATGTGATTTTTTGCCAAATCCATAAATAAGCAATTTTACATTAAACAAACATTTAAAATATGCTTGCAGAGGCGCGGAAATTTGCGCATCATAACTATCATTTGTGTCATAATAATAGAGTAGCACAGCCACAAAATTAGGAGGAAAATATCCTGCTGCCATCCGCGGAATTTCCTTTGGGAGAATTAGGATGAGCTAAGTGCTGCACAGTAGCTGCACATGGGAAAGGGAGGACGGGAAAATCAACAAAGTCTCTACATAAAACAGTGTGGAGTGCTTGGCTTTTAGAAGATAACGTAATGTCGCATACATTGAAAATGTTATATGTTTATTATATATAATATATATTCTTGCTATATACGGGACTTGTACGGGAGAAAAATATTTTACCCAGTAAAAGCAGTGTTCTCTCGTATTTTATGGCAATTAAGATCGTAAAGGAATGAAGAGATTTATATGTGAATAAAGAATCCTAAAATATTAATTAAAAAGTTTCGGTATATCTGTGCACATAAAACCTGCGCATAAGTCGCGCAAATTCGAGATTGTCAACATCGCTTCATACGTTGTGTTGAATATTCTTGAAGATGGAAATGTGTGACTTACCTTAAGAGTATTTTGTAGATTTTGTACTCTGCAGTGCATGTAGACTTGAGCGCCGAGTTGTGCAGTAATGTTGCTTTCTGGATCCTCGAAATATGGCCTCGGTTCAGGAGTGCCACCTGTCTCAGTCACGAAATTCTCCACGTCGTAGACCTACGATAAAAGCTTAAAATACATCTACTTCTTTTTGTTATTTATTTTGTTTATTTACTTAGCTCGTAATAATATAAAATCAGGGAAATAGTCTGTTAAAACAACATAAAATTGTGATTGTACACGTTAATCCTAAATACATGTAATATTTTATCCCAAAAGTCAGTAAATGGTGAAAACGAAACATTCAAACGGTGAATGACGGTAAAAGCGATCTGAATTGTAAATTTTAGTAATACATAGATAAACTTATTTACATTGACAAATACGCGTTTCACTGCGAGAATTGTTCAAGAGATATAACAAAAGCCAATGTTAAATTTTGAAAAATATTTTAATGCGTTATCAGCGTAGTTGTCTATTTTGTAAGTATAATTTCGAAAACCGCGTCAAGTTCGGATGTGCAGGCGTTGGATATTGCGTTATATCTGTTTCTGAATTATTGAAATATTTCAAAAGTAGACTAACATTGCGCTTTCATTATAACATCATGCGCTGAATTATTGAAATAGACGATTTAAATATAAAATATTGTTGGAAACAAAACGAAATTGGAATATTATTGACAATAATGGACTATTTTATATCACCTCAATTATTCCTATTACTCTTTATTTTATTATAGAATATTTTAAACATAAGTTTCATAAATTTAGACATTTAGACAAAAATGCATACAAAAATTGTTTTATGCATTATATTTCCTCCTTCCGGCTAAGAATGTAAAACTTTTATTTCAGATTTTTTGAAAATAAGGAACAATCGAAATTATTGGATGCATTAAAATAGTCCATCCTGTATAATAACTTGAGCAACTACGAAAATCTGATAATGTGCAATTTATATACCTCTGTAAAAGGTGAACTAAGTTCGTGCCAAAATGAGCGTGGCAAGTTTTCAAAACCTGGAAATGGCTTCGCACCTGCAACAAAATTTAAAAACAAATCGACGTTTATTTATAAATAGTAAAAAATATATTTTACAGCTAATACTATGTACAAATCATAACAAAGTTTTTAAAAATCGTAAGTATTCTTTTATCTTGGGATTTTTCGATTAACTTGTAATCAAATTTTGCATTGAGTAAGTAAAATTAAATGCAAATATATCGAGAACAGAGTTAAATTTATGTGCATAAAAAATTATATTGTAATTTAAAAAAATAAAAGTTATAATATAATTATCATTCTAAGTTTTGCTGAAGTTTTCGAAATATTAAATTTACGGTAGAAAGAGTTATTCGTGATGCGTGTATGACATCGAAAAAGATTTCACTTTCCGCCTCGATGTACAACGGTGTGAATCCCTGCACTTGCCGACATCTTGAATGGCCTTATCAGCAAGAAGCATACGCGACTATGTAACTTCCTGAGACGGTACGCGCAAATATATATTCTCCTTATAAAGTTGCATAACCAATAGCGGATTTCTCAATATGCCACACGTTTCAAATGTAAGAAAAGATTACAATAAACTTTTTTAAAAACTATTTGTTTTTATGCAGAGAAAGTCATGCGAGAAGCTTGATCGCAATTATTTTATCAAAATATTTTAGTTATAATATGCAAAAAAAAAATAAATACGACCATATACTCGCCGAAAATAAACTTAAATTTACAACACGTGTATCTCAACGTTGAAACGCAAAAGCGAGAAATAGTTTCGACCCGCGTGAATATATACGCAGCCATCGGCATGTTTTTATTACATTGTACTGAATAAATAATTCCACGAAAATTCGAGGTAAACGCATATAACAAAAGTAAACGTCCCGTTACGAGATGCTTTACAAACAATGCGCGTATTGTGCGTGCCTCTGCCTAAACGGATTTATCTATATAATGAGGAAAAAATAAATTTCGCAAAGCGATGAATACACATTGAAATACTACATATTTTTTGTATTATAATAAAATATATATATATATTTTTTTTTAAATATTATATAAATATTTATTTATCTCAATGCTATTTAATAGAATTTTCGCAAATGCGTCATCTTCGCTATTCTCATCCACGATCAAAAGCATCAAGCATCTTATAAGCATAAGCTTTACATAGCTTGGCACGGTACGCGCGCAGATCGAACAGAAAGAGGTAATAAAGCCAGTTTCTCTCTCCCAGCAAAGTCGTCGTTTTTCAAGACGATACCGGGGAAACCGTGCAATCTGGTCTCTTATAAAGCCGGCACCGTTGAAAGAGACAAGCAGAAGTGCGGAAAAATAAAAGAAACCGCGATAGAATTCGGGAGAGACCACGCAAGGGGAATGGCAATATCTCTCTCCATCAAATTCGACGATTCAAACCAGTCCCGGTTTCCCCGCGGCCGGCTTCGCGTTCGATTTTGGTTCGGCAGTCAGAGGAACTTTGCCGAGGATCTTTCTTATCTCGCCACGGGGATGTAAGAAATGCCGACTATGTGAAAGATGCACTTCGAAATTATTTTCTCAGCTGATCGTCCCCTCGCGCTCGCGCGCACGCCCGAGCAACTCCCTTTCACCTCGCTTTGACGAATTGCCCTGCTCTCTCTCTGTTTCTCTATCCGCGTTCCAAGGTCCCGACCTAACTATTTCTCGTAGAAGGATGGGATAATCCTCGAGAGATGTATCAGTTCTAGCAACTGGGCGTGCAAAGGACCCCCGCCCCCCCCCCTTCCCTGCTTACGCCAATCTAACAAGTTGAATTCTCTCGCTACACAGGCAGACAATCTCGGAAAAGGAATGAGAGGCAAACGGACTTCTAATATCCGTTAGAAAGACGAAGCACATAATCTCCGTGGGAGGGATAAGCCCGGTTACTGGTCAGGATTTCGTTTTAGATACGTTTGCAAACGCGGATTACGTTACGTCCCGGCGCATCAGAAAGTAGCGTGTTTGTAATTGTCGCGCGTGAATTCATACGAGTGAAAGGAAGAATGACGAACGAAGGAAGTTGAAAAAATCTCTTCAGTTAAAATTAAATATTATCAAATCACATCCAAAAATAGAATTCATCAGACAGAAATGCTTGAAAACATATACCTTTACGTATTAAATTTTTTTAATTAGAATTAAAAATAAAAACAAGCGTTTTTCGACGAATTCCCAAGCCGCCTTGTTGTAATATATTTTCGCGTTACACAAAGACAGCGAGCGGTCGCGCCCAGATCCAATACGCTTCGAAAGTGCCCTATATTATTTCTGTCAAAGGAAAACAGACTTTCGTACCGTTCGGAAGTATCGTGACCAATTGCACGATTCTCATAGTTCTTCTTTCCCTTCAATTTCAGCATTTCATCCAAACGTTGTAAGAGCCGCCTCGAATCTAAAAGTACGTACGGATCGACCGCGGTTTGTCGCACGGTACGGCGTCAAATTTATGGAAGCCGTCCGTGCTCGTGGATTTATGAGAATCCAATGCCTTAATTGGAAAATTATAGGACAAGGTCTGGGTACCGACCGTTCAGCTCATAGCCCGTTATTCAGTATAATCTGATTTTCTCTTTTCCAACATCTATGTCTGAATATTTTTTTCGCTGACAACAAAAAGAACTGCAGTTTTTCGCGAACAAGCCGGAAAAACAAACAAATGGTACAAACAAAAATTTCGTTCATGTATACAGCAAATCCGCTTTTCGCTACTCCCCCTTTTATCCTTAATTCTGTTAGTTTTATCTTCGTGGCATTAAACATATTGTAAAGTAGAGCGATTATTTGTTTCACGATAAAGATTACAAGCTTATTTTCTTGTTACATTATATTATTACAGAATTTTATGCAATTTACCTAGCGCGTGGGCAGTGCATAGAAAATATATCTGGTGAACCAAAATGGAGGCCACCACGGCCGAAAGACGACTCAACATCGTAGTCGATCCTCAACTCATTTCTATTCCCAAAGCTGGTACGCGGCAGCACTATTGTTTATCTGCAAGCACAAGAAACAAATATTCATTTAATTTACGATCCTTATTCTAGCGAAAGGGTTTTATACATTGCGAAACAAGTAAATAATTAACGCGCGGCAGCGGTTGTATTTTACACAAAACTAATTGCCGCGACCAACATTATGAATGCAAAAACACCGACGCGTAAAACGCGATCGATCGAATGTGTTGCAATTAGTGAGACACAAGGCGAAATTGTATGTAATGTCAAACAACATTAAATACCGACTTGCTCGAACATCAAATGCTGCTATCAAATCAAATGGTTCCCTTCGGATACCTCAGAGCCAACTTCCTATTTTCTCTAAAGCTTGCGCTTTACTCGAGTTCGCGGTAACAATCGCACACACAGAACATTTCGCAATGGAGAAATCACAGCCACAAATACGCGACATATGTGTATATGTACGCCGGAGAATCGCGTCTTTTCGAATAAGTCGCAATACGAGATCTCGGACGTACCGCGTAAAATTGAAATTTTAGAAAAAACCGCAGTGGTAATTTAAATGGAACATATGTAAATTTTTAATCGCGGCTGTAAATACGAAAGTCGGGCAAATTTGAAAAATCAACGTGGGCATTTTAAATGGAGAATAGTTTCGCGAGAATCAGGGCGTTGGATGAAAATTCTAAGCTAATTTAATCCGAAGATATACGCCGTAAATTATACATTCGCGCATTGTTATTTATAACATCATAAATGCATCACATAAATTACACTGTTCACATTTTCTTGTTAATTCATAACATTTTACTCTAAAAAGAGCAATCTGATATAATCTAATAACGTTTACATATCACGTTATTACGTTACATGAATATTATGATATATTAAACTAATGAAACATATATTTGCGCTCTTTGATAGAAATATTTTGTATTAAAGCCCTATTAAATTCGATTATTTCCCCCGAAAAATCGTGGTCGATGATACACCTTTGAAAATTTACTAACAACCTACTTTTCGGCAGCGGTACGGTCCCTACGACGCGATCTTTTCAAAAGACATCGTGATCGAGTTACGCCAAAGAAGTTCGAACCCGTTCAATGAGGGGAGCAAGATCGTCCCATGGCCGACGGCTATGAAGACGCGCGGAGATCCCGGGCACGAAGTGAATCAACCGGTCGCTCGAAGTCAAACAGAAGATTGTTACCGCGAAATTCCGCGTGATTCAATTTGGCCGGAAGTTCGGGGTGGTGGAAAACACGGTTGCGCGGCTCGACAGTTTCCGCGCGAGAGCGAGGGAGCGAGCCCCGGGTTTGCTCTAACGAATCTATCGACAAGTTTGGGATTTCCACAAGCCCCGCGGCAGCTCTTTCACCGGCTGTCACTTTCCACGTGCAGCGGTATCCTCTCCTCCGGCTCGCCGCTATAGCTGGAAAAGGCTGGGGGAGGGAGGGCTTTCACCATGCCCCTACGATCCCGCCGTGCCGTGCCCGTGGAACTAAGAAAGGACAAGCAATTTTCAGTTTTCCTGGAAACCCGGTAACCCGAGAGAGCGACCCTGTCGCTTATTCGCGAGTTTCAAATTATTTCACCATCTGGCGCAGGTGTCGTCGCCGGTAACGAGTTGCAGCGCCGCCGTCCGCGCCGGCGAATAAAAGTCTCTCCCGTATCTAACTGTTCGTCGTTGTTTGAACTAGACAAACTACGAACTACGTACGTATACGCGAATCAACGGTACGAAAAGCGAGTCGCTCGGAGAGACGGCTGTGGGGGATTCGGTGGCCGGAAAAACGAAGGTAAACGTTGTCGCGTCGCTGAAAAACGGGTTAGCCGCGTCAGCGAATGGCCGGATAGGGAATATTTTTGGCAATCCAACTGTTTCGCTAACATAAAAACGTTTATTTCCGTCGCGCGCATACTCTTCGCTTTTGGTTATCGATATAGCTGCCAGACCATGAAAAATTCATCCCATCTCATTTCGGCATCCGGGCGACGATAATGGGCAAACGTAAACGAGCATCCGAAAAGTCGATCGTGGCTCAATTCAATTCCATCTCGATACGAAGCCCGCGTTCGGAGGGTCCTTGTTCGCAAACCGATAAACAAATCCACGCCTAGGCCGCGCGAGGCTTGCACAAATAGTATGGTGTAACGCGTACTTTATGGTTGTGTAGAACATGCCCCCGGTACGTTGTAACGTACTTGTTCCGCGCGCTTGTTACCGGTAACTAATGTTCTATACCCGCCCGTTCGATAGCGCGCGATCCGGCCGACTGGCAGGGGGAAAAGACCGCTGGACCAGAAAAAGATCGAGCGATTGAGCAAATTACGACACGTAGATTGCGAGCACCAACGGGGAAGCTAGAAGCGATCAGTACACTATCGCGGCATCGGCAGAGACGAAATGAACGAAGCACGAGGATCAAATTTTCTCGTTTTGCAATCGGCAACTGAACCGTACCGTACCGTACGTGCAATCGAGACGATCGCCGGCCGATCAAACGGACTATCCGAAAAACACGTTGTAAACACATCAAGTCCTTTTTATCGATATTCAGAAGTTCCTTTCTCGCGCGTTGATATATTTTTGTACCGCACTACCGAAACGTTAAACGCACAAAACTACAAGAGTTTCAACAGAAAGAATAATCGCAGAAAATATGATAAAGCTTTCAGTGTCGTTACAAGAGAACTCGGTAAAAATTTTCATATAATATAGAGAACATGTACATACAGCTATATATATATACTGATATATATTTTTATACAAACAATTTTTTCACGTTTGACTTTCCCTCTCTTGAATAACTTATATACTCGCTGTAATATTCCGTTCTTGCGTTGATTACAACGAAGAAGACGTATAACTTTCGTACTCGCGTCAATGTTACAATTTAATTCTATTAAGGTCCGGAACTTTATTAAGGGATGCAAGTAATCAATCGATCGCGAGAATTACCTGATAACAACGATGTTATGAGGTAAGTTAGGAAACAAGAGAGCTCGAGTGCCTCCTTAGATGATCCTAAACTATAGGAGTAACCTCCTGCGTTTAACTTTTTAATGTAACTTATATACGCAACACTCATTTGAAAATATAAAACGGCAATTACTTTGTGCACGCAAATGTGTATTAAAAAAAGGACAAGTTAAAAAAATTTAGGAAAAAATTGTGCGCGTCTAATCGTGCCTCTTAGATGGATGTTCCTTTACTCCGCCATACGCCATAGGCGATCGATTTTGGCAATACGACGTTCCGCAATCGCAACTTCAGTCAATGTTTGCTCAATAAACCTCGCAAAAGCCAACGAACCAACTAGCCCCTTGGCCCTTAATGTAGATCGGGGTTATTAATCGCGAGAGTTGCAGAAGAGAGCGCGATCTAAACTGATAAGTTTAAACGAGAAATAGGTTTAGATTGCATTCTTAAATTAAAAAAGAAATAGAATGAATCGCTGGTTTGTTAAAATCGCGTGAAACGTTAAATGCTCAGCATTTCCAGTACACGTCATATACATATTTCGCAAATTAATTTCACTTTGAAATCAAACTTTAGCTCATTTAATATCGCAGTTCATTTCCAGCTGCTTTATTCCTATCAGAAATTGTATTCTTGTATCGCAATAAGTTTTCGATGAGGAAAAGAAGGTGAAGAAGGGGCGTGTCGGATCGATAGAGAGAGAGAGAGAGAGAGAGGGAGAGAGAGTTTGAAGGTAGATCGAATAAAAGTTGCATTAGGTCACAACGCGTTGTTTGTCGATAATGCTTTGACGTCCAAATGACAACAGCCAAGTATTAGCTGCAGCTACCATGAACAACGCTATGATAAAGGTGTAACAGTTGCGTGTCGTGGTTGGGCAACACGGCCGTCTGTGTTCTGTATAGAGCGCAACTACACTCGTGCCAACTCGGCTGTGCCAACATGGGGACCGGCGGACCCGCGTAAACTTGCGAACCTCCGAGGACGGAAGAGTATCGCTGAGAGAGAAATTTTCATTTTACTGCGCACACACGAGCTTCGCGTATCGCCTAAGAAATAGTGACAGCTACAATTTGATTGCATTTAAACGTATTGATACGACTTTACTTCCCTTCCCTCCCCTTCTTTCCCCCCCCCCACCCGCCGTCGGTACGACGCTCATACGAATTTATAGCGGCACTTTCCTTCGCAAACTTTTACAATGATCGTTCCTAACGCGACTTTGACGATACATTACGGTATACGATAACGCGTAAGAGTAGAATCAACAAAATGCGTATCTGCTGCGCGCAATAGCCTACCGCTGCCGGGCACATTGCGAAAGCGGTCTCTTACTCCATTTGGCGGCCGACCATCGCGTTTCGAATGCACAAACTGAGCTCCAGCTCGATAAATGCCCGCTATACCATAAAGGCATTCTAACGACAGTTTGATGGAACAAAATAAAATTTTTATATCCCCCCTTGCCAGTCTACATTTGCCTCCCACATTAAAATTTTATCAATATAACTGTGTTAAATATTACAGCAAAATGATAATGTGATCTGTGTATCGAAAGTTCATGCTCTCTCTCTCTCTCTCTCTCTCTCTCTCTCTCTCTCTCT